TAGCATTACAACTGATAGCATCTTTACGCATTTGGACCGACCGCATCTCGATATGCACACAAAGCACTGGAGGAGAGGAAACTAAACACTGTCAACACCTCATCAATTTTTAGCTTGCCCTGAACGTCAGTTCATTAATTCAGAGCGTCGATGGAGATGAAGGCACATGGCTAATGTGAATTTAAATTAGAATAGAAAATAGTGGATTCAGACTATGCTATATATATATATATATATATATATATATATATATATATATATATATATATATATATATATATAAAGCTAAAGGCAGCTGGAGTTGTGCATCGTTGCAGACATCCACCCAACACTGCAGAGGGATCATCTGCAGGCATGCAGAGTATGTGTGAGTGTGTGTGTGTGCATATTTGTGCAGCACTGGGCGTGTTTGACACGCAGTTGACCACACGTCACAGGTTCTTCGGTATAACACTACAAACACTACACTACAAATGAGAAAATTCGCATTTTGACTGGCTTCATTTCTGTTTATGTAAGCTGACTCACACTTTGAAACCCAGTAGCCCTTATACGGCTGTGGAAGCTCAAAATTCAAACCAAAACACCTATAAATATATTCCAGTTTTGTGACAATTAGGCCAAAACAGTCGAAGATCTGATGTAGTTCTCTCTGGAAATGTTGCTGTCAGTGCCAGAGTGTAGCCTTCTGCAAAGATGAGACATGAAGACGTGTTTTGAAGTATTTTACGCAATTTTACTACCTTAAATGTTGAAAAACATTTTAAAAATGAATGCAAGACGGGTCAAAAGTGATAAATATGCTTGGAGTTAAAAAATGCAACATTTGTAAATTCTGTAAATTCCTGTTCAAGCTGAGGTCTTTACACTATTATACACCACTCTAATGAAATCTTTATACCATTTTATGCCAGTATTACATAATTTGTCACTGCTCTAATGAAATCTTTACGCTTTATAGAAACTTTTACACTATAAAAGAAATATTTACAACATTTTACTCCATTCTACAGAAATCCTTGCTGCAATTCACACCAGCCTATAGAATCTACACACATTTTATCCAATTCTATAGACATTTTATGCTATTTTACACCATTCTGGAAACCTTTACACAATTTTACCTCATTCTAGAAATCATTACACCATTTACACCGTTACATAGAATTGCTTACACCATTTGACACCATTGACCCCATTCTAGAAGCTTTACATCACTTTTACACCACTCTGGAAACCCACATACAATTTTACACCATTCTAGAGATCATTACACCATTTACACCATCATATAGACGTTTTTACGCCAATTTACACAGTTTACAACATTCTATACTTTTACTACTTTATACCGTTCTAAAAAATTCCACAATTTAACACTATTCTAAGTTATTATGCTATTTATGCCACTCTTTTGACAGCTTTACACTAATTTACACCATTCTAGAAAACTTCACACAACTTTACGCCATTCCAGAAATTCATACATCATCTTACACCATTCTATAGAAATCATTGCACTATTTTCCACCATTCTAGAAACCTTTACACCATTTTTGCACCTTTCTAGAGATCATTGCTCAATTTACAGCATTTGATAGAAGAAATTATACTGTTTTACACCTTTCTAGAAATGTTTACACCATTTTTAAAAGAGCATTAACAATAAAAAGAGAAAATTAATCTTACTGCATATAATGAGATGAGGAGGAAGAAAGTTCCTGTGTACATTGCAAAGTGTCAGACTTGTGTGTGTCCGCCTGTGGGAATGTGTGTGTGTGTAGTTGCATGTATGAGTGAGTGTGTGTGTGTGTGTGTGTGTGTGTGTGTGTGTGCGTTCGTACATGTGTAATGTCCGTGTTCCTCACATTCCATCACCTAATCAATCCAGCCAGGCACACATTAACTCTGAGGTTAACAACACGCATCACCGGCCCTGACCTCTGACCTTCATTTTAAACACTTTTTCCCTTTGAACGCTGATTCTGGACCCTCGCTTCCTCCTCTGACCGGGACAACAATCAGAGAAGAAAGGAAAAATTCTCTTACAGTAATCCAGTATATTTACATAACAATAACACTTACTGTACATTTAAATATGGTTTCACCCTCAGAATTCACCAGAATCATCCACCATGACAAAAGCCTGCTGCAATTCAACATGAATGAACTCTCGTTTGTGGACAGTGCGGTTTCTTTTTTAATCCCATACCACATTTGTGTTTGTAAGTAGAAGATATTTGATTATGATTTGAATTTGATGAAAAGTTTAATGTTCTGTACACAGTGCATAACTAATTCAGTGTAATTACTGTGTACTAATTATGTAATTACACTTAAAGTATAGCAAAATGAAAGTAATAACTGGCAACTTTGTGTTGTCATTTTTAAATAATGAAGCCTGCCTTGTTCATTACAGTACTGATCCACCTGCATGTAAACTGGTTCCTCATATATGTGTTTTGTCTGCTTTATGGTTGTCATATTATTTTATCTATATGTAAATGACTATACCATATATATCATTCATTTTGTTTAAATTAATAGTTTCAGGCTTATAACATCAGCCCTCAACTGATGTGCATCATCCCTAATATTCAGCATCACTCAACATTTTCTTTATCCTGTAATCTAATGTTATGTAATTCGACAATCACTTTTGTTTCATCTTGTTTCCTTTTTTATTTCAAATCTCTGAAGGAGTGCTAGCATCAGATTAGAACCACTTTGGAAATGTATCCAGAACCAAGTTGTGTTTATATTGTGGAAAATGTTGATACTGAACTGAACACTGAGTGATGATACACTTTTGAAAGGTTGTTTGCAAATATGTGTATAAAATATTTAAAGGGGAGTTCTACTACTTTGTTTTTGTTTTTTTGTTTTTTTAATTTCTGCATAATTCAGTCATTAAGATAAAACAAAGTCATTCGGAGTGGTTTGATGTGAAATGATTCGTTCTAGAGAAGCTTACAGACTTGTTCAGAATTATTGACAGTAGCAGTGATAGGAACCAGACAACTGAAACATTTAACCCCTTAAAATCCCATCCTTTTACATACTAAAGGCTTATTATTCAGTAACTACAGGGACTTCAATGCAAACTGGGTTGTAGAAGTGTGTAATAAAACTTTGGCCCATTTAAAGCGTTGATGGCTCTTAAAGCCCCCTCACAGAATGTTAGTGCGTGCAATAGTTACACATACGCTGACTGATTTTTTATCCATTTTTATCTGGTTTTGAAATATGATTTCAGCTTAAAACACATATATATGTTTTTGCTTTTCAATTTACCATTTTTGCCATTATCAACACCGCATTTAAAAACTCAGAAGGTTCTCTGGTCATTTTGGATAGTAAATAAAATGGCTATACTTGTGTTGTGGTCATTGTGAACCCTGGTTCCTATCAGCACCACTGTAAAGAAATCTGAGTCTCTTCAGTAAACCATTTCACATCAAACCACTCTGAATGACTTTATTTGCATCTCAACAATTTAATTTTGCAGAAAACTTTAAAAAAGGGTGGAATTCTTCTTTAAATATAGACCAATGCCATTGTGCTGGAGGCCAAACTGCACAAACACTGAGGGGAAATGAATGATAAGTATACAATGCGCTTGCAGGAATAGCTAGGTGGAGTGGAGCTGGGGTCTTTTTGGCCTGATCTTGCTTGTGAATGTGAATAGGCCTCATAGCATATTGCATATTGCTGCACTGCTAGAGACCAGGAGAGAGAGAGAGAGAGAGAGAGAGAGAGAGAGAGAGAGGGAGAGAGATGCTGTATTGTCAGCATCCCCATGCCACTAATGCATCCATCATGAAATGGCATGTCATTGTGCGGTAGATGCATGACCACAATGTCCACCACACACGTGGGGTCAAGTGCTGCTCTGAAAAGACACGCAGCTCTGCTCTTTATCGCTCCTGCTTACGTAAGATGCCCCTCATACCTCCACTCATCCCTCCTTTCCCCCCCTTTTTATCCTTTATTCTCTCCCTCTATGTATAGATTTATATATCTTTCTTTATGTCTCTTTCTCATTCCTCTCTCCTCATCAGCACATCCCCAGAGCCCCGAGCACAACCCTTCCCCCCTCCATCCTTTCTGAAATGAGAGAGAGAGAGAGAGAGAAAGAGAGAGAGAGAGAAATGGGGAAAAATGATAGAGGGAAGACAGGGAGAAAGGAGAGAACAGAAGAGAGAGAGAGAAAGAGAGAGAGAGAGAGAAAGAGAGAGAGAGATAAAAAGAGAGGAAGAGAGAGCAGAGAGAGAAAGAGGAAGGGACAGAGAGATAAAGAGAGAGAGAGAGAGAGAGAGAGAGATGGAGATAGAGAGAGAAAAAAACATGCCCGCATTCTTTCTTCCTTTTGCCACCTTGAAAACAACACCCTTGTCCTGGCAGCGGCCACATCTCTCTCTCTCTCTCGCTCTCTCTCTCTCTCTCTCTCTCTCTCTCTCATAGCCTGTGCACATTATGTGCTCATTTTTCATTCTTTTTTTTCTACCAATCCCTCCATCTCGCAGCTAGAATCTGACCCTTTACTCTCAGCAGAAATAAGGCAGCTCGTATAGCAGTATGTTGGCTGTTGAAGCTTACCTTTGTGCGACCGGGTCTGTTTCCCTGTGTTTCTCTATGTCTCTCTCTCTCTTTCTCTCTCCCTCTCTCTTCACCTGCTCCACATTCTCCAGTCCTGCAGTTTAACAATGCTCTGCAGTGGCTCCGTGTCAATGTCATAACAGCGCTGTGCGCCTGTGTTAAGTGTGAAGCCAGCGGAGCGCAGAGGCAGCCTCCGACATCATTTCCTCCTGTCTCTTCCCCTTACCGCGCTCAACACATCCTCTTTTCTGTTCTCTAGGCTTTATTTCTGCCTTTCTGTTTCAGAATCATGACCAGTGTCCAAGTGCCGGTCAGACTGAGGCTACTGAAAAAAAACCTGCACGCTGCGAGTCTGAGTGAGCGCATGCTTTTATTAAAAATAATAAAAATCAAGCTCTTACCTCCATATGTCTGCTGGACCTTGTCTTCTTCCAGCCTGCTGTCGTCTCCCCCCTTCCCCCAGTGACAGCATTTTTGCTCTCTCTCTCTCTCTCTCTCTCTCTCTCTAGCCCTCTCTGTCTCACCTCCCTCCGTCCTCCCTCTCTTTTCTCTCTGTCAGTGGGTGCTATGTATCCACGGAACAAGAAAAAGCCTGCCCGTTCTCTCAGCCGTATTGTGTCCTCATCCCTGTTGTTCTGACCGAGGCAGGTTGATTTGTACTCTCTCTCTCTCTCTCTCTCTCTCTCTCTCTCTATTTCACTTTGTCTCTCGCTCTCGAGCACACTGCCTCTATTCCATTCACATCACACTAAGGACAACCCCCTCCTCCTCCTCCTCCCTCCCTACATCCTCTACTGCCTCTGTTCCCCCGCCTCTCCCTCTCTCTCTCTCTCTTCCTCTCTCTGCTATGCTCTCTCGCTCTCTCGATTTCAGTCCAGTTCACTTCAGTGTATCATTGACATGACAGATTTATATGTACATTGTCAAGGCATTGCGATGCAAGCAGCATATATATGCACAACAACAAAGACAATGTTAATGTCTCTCTCTCTCTCTCTCTTTCTCTCTCTTTATATATATGTACCCTCTTTCCTGCTTATATCTCCCCTTTTCTCTTCCATCTCTCTCCTTTTCTCTTTTTCTCTCCCTGTTTCTTCCTCCCTTCATCTATTGCTACCCCTGCTGTCCCTTCTCTCCCCTCTCCCTTTCCTTCTCTCTCTTCCTCTCTCCCCTTTCTGCCTCCCCCTCTTTTTCTCTTTCTTTCTCCCCCCTCTCTGTCTTCTCTCTCTCTCTCTCTCTCTTTCTCTCTCTCTCTCTTTCTCTTGATCTGTCTCTGCCCCCCCCACCTCTGTAATCCGTTTTCTAGACTAATGGTTGGATGATTAGTGAGACTAGATTAGGAGCCTCCACTGCCTAAATGCATGCAGAGTGTTTTGGCCATGTATTCATTTCTAATCATTCTAATCATTCAATATATATATATATATATATATATATATATATATATATATATATATATACAAGCATGCAATGACATAATGGGGCAAGCCTACATGACCCCTTCAGCCAGTCCAAACCACAATATATAGAACTGCATATACTGTATATTAGGATTGTTAATGTTAACACAGTAGTGATATGTTAATAACACCTTAATAACACATTAGCTTGATAAATTATTAGGCCACCATTTTTTTTATGTCATTAACGCATTTTCCTAGTTTGACCCTTGATTCCACCCTTAGTTGTGCAGGCTGAAGCCCAGCTGCTCACACACTGCATGTTACTATATCTGAAACCACAACTGTACTGAACAAAATACCCACTGAACAGCTTTAATGTCATTTATGGATGTTTTTTACCATCAGATAAACAGCAGTTAAAGTTTTCATCTTTGAGAGAGAGGAGAAAACCAAGCTGCTTCAGATCTGAAAACATCCACGTGTTTCTGTCCATCCTTCCACTGTGAGAAGACAACTCAGCACTATGGGTCCGAAAGGACGTGGAGCTGTAAAGGAGCCCCTTAACAAGAAATAAAGTAGCTGCTGGTGCTCTCAGAACAATGAACTGACCACCCCAGAGTCCAGACCTCAACATCACTGAATGTGTTTGGGATTATCTGGATCATGAGAAGCAGAAAATGCAACCAACCTCTAAGACTGAACTGTGGAGGTGTGGAAAAATATGGCTGCAGATTTCCTGAGAGTGAGTCTTCTAAAAAGAATGGAAACAATAGATTCAAAGACTGGACACACTGAATACTTAAAAAATTAGGTTATAATAATTTTTTTCTGTTAAATATATGTGTTCTTTTATTCCTCACACTGAACAATGCATAAACACTAGTCCCTGTTGTCTGTTTTGACTGTAAATGGAATAAATGAAGGGAGGTCTCTGACTTTTGCACAGCTGTACATATTTGAATCTCGTAGTAAGACATTTATTCTGATTTTGATGGGGTCCGTTTGGTTCCAGACACCCTCTAACGCTCAGACATGCTTCAAAACCTTCACCTAGCTTTTATCCAGCCAGATGACGGCAGCAAACTCTTTCCAGCCTTTTCAGCCCTGCTCTGATTGTGTCACCATGCCAGACCGATGGTGTCAGTCAAGGCAGCAGATTGGAAGTGTGTGTGTGTGTGTGAGCAGAATTCTGCATGCCTCTGTGAGCCCCCCAATCCCCCACCTCCCCCTCACCCCCTTTCTCAACGGTAAATTAACGCTGTTCACCATGGAGGATTATGTTGCATTTCATTTGTCCTTTCCAGACTCCTGCTCCAAAATATTTCCCTCAGCTTTTCCTCTCTCTCTCTCTCTCTCTCTCTCTCTCTCTCTCTCACTCTGGCATGGATTTTCTCATCAGGGGGCACACCACACACACATACACGATGGAGCTCGAGACACATTTTTCAGGCCAGACTAAAGCTCACCTAATGTAACCATACACTCCAGCGCTCACTGTACGTTTACATTAGAAGCTATTAACTACTTACACTGCAGACGTATCATTCAGTTATTCATCTTAAGACTTATTACTGAGGTACTACTTCAAATCTAATCTGTTTATCTGTTAAGTTATGTAGGTATAAGAGTGAGTAACTGAAGTGTGGCCATGTGTACATTACATACACATACATTCCAGCTTAAGGGGTCCTTTCAGGCCATTTCTATTAGCTAGATTGTCGACTGTAGCTTATATTTCTACACTCTTTGTTCATTTCATCAGCTCCACTTAACATATAGGAACAGACTGAAGTCCTTCTGTTCCTCTGCATACTTTGTTAGCCCCCTTTCACCCTCTTCTACAGTGGTCCACCACAGAGCAGGTTATTTGGGTGGTGAATCATTCTCAGCACTGCAGTAACACTGAGGTGGTGGTGGTGTGTTAGTGTGTGTTGTGCTGGTACGAGTGGATCAGACACAGCAGTGCTGCTGGAGTTTTTAAACACTGTGTCCACTCACTGTCCACTCTATTAGACACTCCTACCTTGTTGGTCCACCTTGTAGACGTAAAGTCAGAGACAGTAGCTCATCTACTGCTGTACAGTTTGTGTTGGTCATCCTCTAGTCTTTCATCAGTGGTCACAGGATGCAGTTGGCTGGATATTTTTGGTTGGTTCTCAGTCCAGCAGTGACACTGAGGTGTTTAAAAACTCCAGCAGCACTGCTGTGTCTGATCCACTCAGACCAGCGCAACACACACTAACACACCACCACGTCAGTGTCACTGCAGTACTGAGAATGAGCCAACATACAACTAATATCTGCTCTGTGGGGGTCCTGACCATTGAAGAACAGGGTAAAATGGACAATGAGTGTAGAAACAAGGTGATTTTAATGTTATGGTGGATCGATATATATATATATATATATATATATATATAAACTGAAAAGCACAATGTATAAAACCAAACATGTACACACACATTTTGAGCCCTGCCTCACACTACATCCAGCCTAGACGCTGTTACAGAGCGATGGACGTAGGCCCTTCTTTGCATTCACTAATTACAGATTGCTGCTTCCCCTCTCGCTTGGCCATATGGCCGCAGGACTAGGGGTCACCCCACCCCATGTGAGAGGAGAAGGGGAGGAGGGGAGAGTGGGGTGCTACTGGAAAGCCTGGGCCTGAGTGCTTTGGTTCCACCATCACAGAGTGGACACGTAGGTACTTTGGGATTTTAGATAGATGACCACAAAGCTCTCTCTCTCCTAACTGCCTTTTACAAGAGGGAACAGGACACTGTCAGAACAGCTGAGGTCAAAGATTTCAAACACCGTTGGTCAGCAGCAATTCTGAGAAGCAGAATCCTCTTCTGTTTTTTATCATGAGAACATTCACATGTTTACGCAGTGTGTAATGATACTGAAGCGGCTTAGCTAAAAGAATGTAAGTTTGAGTTTATTAATGTTATCAAGTCTTAAATTGCACTGTCCATTTGGTCAGTTTGGTCCAAAATCAAGGGAGTTTGCCCCTGTTTGCTGCAGTAACAGCCTCTATTCTGGTCAGGTAGGCCTGGTGATAATCAGCTGTGTATCACTCCAACTCATCACAAAGGTATTGAATCTCCATCACTCCATAGAGCGCAGTTCCACTGCTCCACAGCTCAGTGCGGGGAGGCTTTAGACCTATTAAGCAGACGCTTGGCACTGGGCATGGTGACCTTAAGCTTATGTGCAGCTGATCCTGAGCATCATATTGAATCTATAATGCTTTCAGTTGAGATTATACGAGATGTATGAGCACAGTTGAACACTTGTGCACCTTAAATTAGCTGAACTCACTGATTAGATGGAATGTCTGAATAGTTTAATATAGAGGTATATTTTATTCATGTGCAAGTTCAAATTCAGAGCACATTTTTTGAAAGTAGTCTGAAGGATACATCATTTCCTGATTTTTGTGCTGCATTTTCAATCTTCTATGTCTTTACAGTGGTGCGGCGTCTCCCCCTGCTGACCAAGATGCATAAAGACAATGCGAGAAAATTAAAGCTGAAACAGCGCCATCTGGTGTTCAGCAGTGGTTCAGTCTCAACTCAGACTGGCGTGTTTTCATTGCACGTCTTTGTTGATGGGAAAGCAGCTTTGGAGTCAAATCCCTCGAATGAAACATTACCGGCTGAACTGAGGTAATGATCTAAGTCATAAACTGGTCTTTAAATATTTAAAAAAATATTTAGAAAATAGAAAAAAATATTTAGAAATAGAAAATCTGACCTGATTATGTTTACATAGAGATTTTGATTCTGATCCATTCACTTCTAAGCCTTTGATGCTGATGTAGGATACCAGTCATTTCCACAGTGCTGTAATGTGAAGCTGGTCAGGTATATTATATTAATATACTGTAGATGGCCATACGCAGTCTAAGCAAACAAAGGACCCTGCTGAAAAAAAACATAGAAACCATTAAACATTTCTGTTGGTTCCTGGTGGTGTCCAGTAGTCAGTAATGGTGTAATCTGTGTTTCTCTGATGGGTTGATATCACAGTGTAAAGGACTGTAGTGGGTTAACAGGTGTCCTGGGATTGATTACAGATGTATTTGATGGTTTCCTAAAATGATCTAAAGGTGTCCTACAGCAAACCAGTAGTTTCCAGTTGTAACCATTAAGCCAATGCTTAAAAAACTGAAAAAGAGCTGAGAAAAATAAATAAATGCTGTTCAGCCCTACCTGGGCCTATGTGAAAAAGTCAGTGCCCCCTTAGCTACTAAATCAACCAGTTAACCAATTTCAATTGACTACTGAGTTCAATTTTACTACCTACACCCAGGAATGATTACTAACAGACCTGCTGAACCTGAACATCACTTGAATAGAACCTGTCTGGCAAGCAGGCTAGAAGTTCTCAAAAAGCA